AGTTCCAAGGAAAATAGCACCCTCTCTCATTTCGGGGTGACATCTGTCAAACTCACGGAGCTTCTTTCCAACGGAGAGTCTGATTTCCTGATGTACTTCCCTTTCCAGGTGGGGCATTTTCTTTTTCTTAAAGTAAACTCTACACCCAATATGGGGCTCGAACTCACGACTCTGAGATCAAGAGTCACTTGCTCTACCATCTGAGCCAGCCAGACATCCCCCAGGTGGCACATTTTTACCCGATGCTGAAAAACAAACACGGGGCTTTAATCTCCAAGGCCTCACATCTCCACAATGGGCCAGCCACAGGGAGTGAAGAACCTCTCAGCCCAGTGCTTTTTAGTTCCCTTTATAGAAGCCGCTCAGGAGCAGACAGAACTGGCTACAGGCCGGGTGGTAATTTGGACCAAACTTTTGGGGTAAAATCTTAGGGAAACGGTAAGCCTGAGATAATGACAGTGGAAATTAAAGTGTGCTTGAGGCCTGTTTTAAAGGTCGATTTCAATTTTGACAATGAGATGATTTTAAAATCAGCATCAGTATCAGACTCATTTTAAGGGGCTATTTTCTTCAGCAGCACCCGCATTAACACACACCCACCATGGCTTGGCCATGCTTTCCCACCCACAGTGAAGTCAACAGTGCTTAACACCAGCAGGGCAATGTGTTGCAGAGAGATGCTCCTCCCATCCCAATCCTACTTTAAGACCCACATCAAATTCCTTTCTCTTGTTGATGCCATTCTCCTTGGACTCTTGTCTTCCTTAAAGGACTCTAATGTGTAAAAACAGTTGTGAAATAGAGTCCCCATGGCTTTGTAGCTGGGCAGACCTAGGTCTGAATCCCAGCCTCAGATTACTCATTGCAGGATCTCAGACATCTCACTTAACCTCCCTGGACTTCTGTTTCCTCATCTGAAAGTTGGGGAAATACTAACACCTATTTCAGAGGGTTGATGTGAAGACTGACTGAGATAGTCCAGAGTCTGGCCTGGTGTCATGCTTGAACTCGTCACAACTGTCACTGCCTTTACTCTTTATTACTGGTCTTTCAATCACTTTCCCCTTGTTCTTCAGATTTCCATTCTGAGTTGAGGGTGATTATTTTGAATTTAGAGAAGAACTTTTAAATTTTATTCCTGACTGCTACTGATGTAAAATATCATGCTTTATCCCCAATAAAATAGGTTTTCTTGAATTTTTGTTTGATATTTTGCCTCACATTTCCTTTTCTCAAACATTATTAAGAACAGAAACGTTTTAAAGATTGAAGTCAAATGTGTTCGGAAGCCAAGTGGTTTCAGTCTTAAGTGTCTCTACTGACCAAGCCAGCTGAGGCACTGCTCACCTTTGCTGGCGTCTCAGCGTCCTCTGCTGACTGAGGCCCTGGTGTTAGTATTTAAGGTCAGCCATTGGGGAACAGGAAATTTAAGCTTTGGTCACACTGAGGGAGTCATGTTCCCAATAGGAAAGGCCACCAAAGCAGCCAGGGCAGTTGTAAGTTAAGTCCTTTTCATCTGGAGGTTGCCAGAAGAATGATTCTGAGAACAAGAACATTCTTTTATGTCTCTTATACAACTTTAAGCAAGAACAAACTTAGCACATAGTAGGTGCTTAATAATCACTGAGGTGTATGTATGACACCTCCTGTACAGATTCACCTCAAAACAGAATGTCACGGGCTCAATGTGTCTCCCCCAAATTCATATGTTGAAATCCTAACCTCCAAGGTGATGGTATTAGGAAGTAGGGGGCTGTGAGGAGTGACTAGATCATGAGGGTAGAACCCTCATGAAGGGGCTTAGTGCTCTTATAAAAGAGACCCCAGAGAGCTTTCTTGCTCCTTTTCTGCTACGTGAGGACAGAGGGAGAAGATAGTGGCCTGTGAGCCAGGAAGCAGTCTCTTGCTGGATACCTGATCTGATGGCACCTTGACCTTGGATTTCCCAGCCCCTAGAACTGTGAGAAATAAATGTTTATAGTTTAAGCCAGTCAGTCTGTGGTATTTTGTTATAGCAGCCTGAACAGACTAAGCAGGTCCTATCTATATAGAATGGTTGACAACAATCAAGTCCTTCTCATACCTCAACAAAGCCCCATAAATAAATGTTTGCACAGTTGAAATATGTTCTTTTACTTATTATTTTAAATCATTGTCCAAAGAGAAATTTCTGGGTTTTTAATACTTTAAATATTAGGCAATATAATTCTGAAAGGAAAGACGATCAATGAAACTTTATAAATCAAGAGGAGTTGTTTTCTTTAAACATTTTTAAAAAACCTTAATTCCAGTGTAATTAACATACAGTGTTATATGCAAACAATGAATCATGGAACACTACATCAAAAACTAATGATGTAATGCATGGTGATTAACATAATAAAAAAAAGACAATAATACAAATTTTAAAAAGCATACAGTGTTACATTCATTTCAGGTGTACAATATAGTGATTCAACAATTCCATGTATTACTCAGTGCCCACCACCATAATTGTGCTCTTGGTCCCATCCACGTATTTCACCCACCCCCCTATCCACATCCTTCCCCTCTGGTAACCCTCAGTTTGTTCTCCATAGTTAAAACTCTGTTGTTGTTTTTTTATTTGTCTTTCTCTTTTTTCCCCTTTGTTCATTTTTTTGTTTCCTAAATTCTACATTTGAGTGAAATCATATGGTATTTGTCTTTCTCTGACTGACTTATTTCACATAGCTTTATACTCTCTAGCTCCATCCATGTTGGTAGAAATGGCAAGATTTCATTCTTTTTTATGGCTGAATAATATTCCATTGCATATACACCACATCTTCCTTATCCATTCATCTGTTGGTGGACACTAGGGTCGCTTCCATAATTTGGTTATTGTAAATGAGGCTGCAGTAAACATAGGGGTGCATGTATCCTTTCAAATTTGTGTTTTTCTGTTTTGGGCTAAATACCCAGTGGTGTGATTACTGGGTCACAGGGTAATTCTATTTTTAATCTTTTGAGGAACCTCCATCCTCTTTTCCATAGTGGTTGCACCAGTTTGCATTCCCACCAACAGTGCAAGAGGGTTCCTTTTTCTCCACATCCTTGCAATGCTTGTGGTTTCTTAAGTTTCTGATTTTAGCCATTCTGACAGGTGTGAGGGGATATCCCCTTATGGTTTTGATTTGCCTTTCCCTGATGATGAGTGATGTTGAGCATCATTTCATGTGTTTGTTGGCCATCTGTAGGCCTTTTTTGGAGAAATGTCTGTTCATGTCTTTCTGTCCATTTTTAATTGGATTATTTGGTGGGGGTTGATGTTGAGTTATATCAATCAATTCTTTATATATTTTGGATACTAACTCTTTATCAGACATATTATTTGCAAATATCTTCTCCCATTCAGGAGATTGTCTTTTAGTTTTGTTAATTGTTTCCTTTGTTGTGCAGAAGCTTTTTATTTGGATGTAGTCCCAATAGTTTATTTTTGCTTTTGTTTCCCTTGCCTCAGGAGACGTATCCAGAAAGATGTTGTTATGGCCAAGGTCAGAGAAGTTACTGCCTATGCTCTCTTCTAGGATTTTTATGCTTTCATGTCTCACATTTAGGTCCCTAATCCATTTTGAGTTTCCTTTTGTGTATGGTGTAAAAAAGTAGTCCAGTTTCAATCTTTTGCATGTGTCTGTCCAGTTTCCCAACACCATTTGTTGAAGAGACTCTCTTCTTCCCATTGCATGTTCTTGTCTTCTTTGTTGAAGATTAATTGACCATATAGTCGTGGGTTTATTTCTAGGCTCTCTTGTGTTTCAAGGAGCAGTTATTTTCTTAAAGCAAATTTCAACTTTATAGAGATTCCAGATGTCAATGCTCTGTGGGTCCTGGAAAATATGTCATTTGGGGGGTATTTTTAATCTCATACAAAATTACTGACCTTTTGAAACCTAACCAGAGTAACTCTAGCATCCCGTGGCCCTGAACACAGGAGGCTTCAGTCCTCTGCAAGGATTGGGGGATGCTGGCATCCTCTCCACAGTCTCAGCCTGGTTCAGCCTCCACTAGAGTCCCCTTCAAGTGACCCCGCTCATGGCACAGGCTTCATCCACTGCCCCTCTGCATGCCTTTGCCTAGAAGAGTGTCATATAATTCAAGGGCAGAATTCTAACAGATCTTCCTGCTACCCATGGGTTCTTCGTGGTTTTTCCCTCCTAATCTAATTATAGAAAGATAAACTGTGACTTTCAAGCTGACAGGTACCTTTTTTTTCCTCCCTGCTTTGAGTCTTCACTCATTTGATGCAAGAAAGAACTCTCAAACTCAGAACTGTTTCAAATATAGCATCAATGTAAGAAAAAAAAAAAAGAATTCTAACAGAACTGTGGAGGGATAAGTACTCCAAAGCACAATATAAACACTGGTATTCCTGGCCTTTGTGCTAGAGCTTCGATTCTAATTGCTTCAAAGTGTTAATGGAGATCGTAGTTTTGAAACCTGTTGCCAAGCTCTTCTTTCCTTTCTGTGTACATGACCATTTTCATAGTCCGTATTCCTATCTACCTGCTGGAGAATGGGAAATCAAGTAGGGAATTGGGACTCTTTGAACAGGAAGTCTGAGTCCCTAGGGAGGCAGTGTGAGGAACAATAAGATTTTTAAAAATGTTTGTTTTCATTAACATATTAGAAGCTAGGTCCAGTGAACTTGAACACAGTGACTGCCAGATACCAGGGAGAATTCAGTATATAAGGGTATTTCACTTTGGTCAGGTAGAAAAGGTACAAAGAGGACCTCACCTTCCTGTGATGAGAGTTGTGGGAGCAGGGAGAAGTAAGGCAAATAGTTCAGACAGGGTACCTGGTCACCATCTACCCCTGGGGATGAAATTCAAGGGCGAGAGTGCCACATTATCCAACTAGACATAGGTCAACCTGAGGACACTGGAGCCAGAAGTGTGCATCCTTCCATGTAGCCCAGGGGAGTGTGCAAGTCAGTAGGAGAATCACCATCTAGTATGGTGTGGGGCATTAGTGCGCCAATGGTAAGCAGAGAAGAATTGGGAGAGAGAGCTCAGGACAACACCAAAGCCTATGTCTGGCAGAGTGTTCTCACAAGGGGAACAGAAGTTCTCAGATGCCAGTGGGCTGTCAGAAGCCTGAGGACTGAACAAAGAGGCCACAAGAGAAGCGGTTTTGAGGCTGGAGACAAAGAAACAAATAGGCAAGAGACTTCAGAGGTGGGTACCAGCATCATGTCCCATTAGTGCTGGATGGGCCCAGCTGTGTCTCAGTCACCCCATTCAGAGACCCATAGACCAACCCAAGTAGCTACAGGTTCCTCACAAGAACACAGTGGACAGCACCTGACCTGCCACCTCCCAGTGGAGCCAAAGGAAGGGAACCTAAGCACATGGATCCCAGAGCCCTCCTCTTCCTTACTGTCAAGAAACCAAGTAAGCTTCTCCCCACCCATCCCACGTGGTGCGTGTCATCTCACATGGGAGCAGTGGGCAGAGGGACTTGGAAGAGAACAAGCCATCTAGATGAGACTGTCTAAAGCAAAGACATGAAGATGCTCTTGATGGGCAAGTTTAAAGTCACCACCCTTTGCCCTAACTTCCAGGATGGTGGGCATAGTGGGAAAGAGCAGATGGCTAATAGAAAATAAGGTACATTTTCTTTGAACATATGTGTAAAAATGTTAAGCTGCAACATATTTATACCATAAAGGAAACAATTGTGTGTTTTTTAATACCTCCATTCTTCCAAAAAGGATTTGAGGCAGCTACAACCTATGTATTGGAAAGTAAACACTTAAGGAAAGATCCAAAGATTCAATGAGTTTTAGTTAGTAGGTATGAAGAATAGAACACCATATGTTAACTATACGGGAATTAAATAAAAATAGAAAAATAGAATGATGAAGATACATTTAATACATGTGATTTGACATCTAGAAGGTTAGCATGAGAAATGCGGTAAGTTGCATCTTTTCTGTTAATGGAATGTCAATATTTTTGTGGAAGAAAGCCAAGAGCCCAGAGCTGTCTTTGTCATACCTGTGTCTTCTACACTTACTGGAGTGCGGTGTGTGCTCAGGAAATATTTGTTCAATGAATAAATGAAAAAATAAACTGCTTAGCATCAGGATGGATAACTTAAGACATTTTTGAGCTCTTTCAAGCCATTGATGGGCCAAATAGCAGAGCAGGGGGGACTGGGGTGGCAAGAGGTAGGAGTTGCCCCAAAGAGTTACCCCATCCTGGCCATGAGAGACCTGCTTCAGAAAAAGGGGACAAAAGAAAAGAGTGGAGGTGGGGACTTTGCTGTGCATTGCCATCTCTCTCTCTCGCAGGTGTGTGTGTGTGTGTGTGTGTGTTTGCCTGTGTGTGATTGTTTCCTGGGCAAGAGTGCTCATTGCAGCCTTTAGCACTATAGGACCTTCTGTAGGTTCCTCATGGAGAGACCCTCTCAGAGCATGGACTCTGGGCCCGGGGCAGAAGGGGTTGGTCTGGGAGAAAGGCAAAGAGCACCAAGCATGGCCTCAGGGAGGCAGGGATGGCCTGGTGGCCTGAAGGTGGGAGAGTGTTTGGTCTAAAATTAGATTGGCATATGCTACTTTTAAACACGTGTTCTATTAAATTTACAGTGTATGATGAATTAAGAAATATTTGTATAAGCCCTGCGTGTCTTGTGGCACAATTTGACTGTATTCTTTATTAAGAGTTAAGATGCCAATTTGTTAAGTGTAAACGTTTTTTTGAAAGATTTTATTTATTTATTTGAGAGAGAGAGAGAGAGAGATAGTGAGAGAGAGCATGAGCAGGGGGGAGAGGGAGAAGCAAGCTCCCAACATGGGGCTCGATCCCAGGACCCTGACCTGAGCCAAAGGCAGACGCTTAACCGACTGAGCCACCCAGGCACCCCCATTAAGTGTAAACTTTTAAAGTAGGACTAGGATAACCCCATTTTGACCTTTCTTGATTTTTTTTAAAAATGCCAGAATTTTAAAATCTGAAAGCCACCACAGCCCTGTCTGAGATGTTCTGGTGCACGTACATGGAAGTAAAAGCACATACTACTACTAATCGTTCCCTGAATGAGACCCTTTCTCTATCACCTCTCGGCATTTTACACACTGTTCCCTGGGCCAGAAGCACAGGCCTCTCATATTCACCCCCCCCCAGGGGTATTTTTGGAGACTACATCTTTCCTATCTTTCCTCAAGACACAGGCCAGGCATCACAGCCTCCCAGAGGCCCCTGCATTCTCTTCCCCCATCCCCTCTGCACCGCTAAGCTCAGGGCCTCAGTGAGTTTTCATAGCACCTGTCATATTCTTTACTGCTCATCTCTCTTCCCCACTAGAGTGTAAATGCCTTTAGGGTAGATGCCATCCATCTCATCCTCTTTGTGTTCTCAGAATTTAGCACAGGGCCTGGCATGAGGCAGATGCCTAGCCCTTACAGCAAGGTTCTGGGAGCCCCAATTCCTAGCCCTGCCCCTCCCCAGAGTGAGAGGAGTGCTATTTTCGGGGGTGGGTATGGTTCTATGTCTACATGGATGCATCTTACAGGTTAAGTGGAAAGCGTGCCAAATGCAGAGAGACCCAAATGTCATCCCGTTGTACACCAGGACTCTGATTTTTTTTCTCCAGCATTAAAGGTGCAGGGGCAAAATTAAGCCAGAGAGAGCACGGTCGTGGGAGTGAGAATATGAAAATGCTGGCACTATGGAAAAAGACGGTGGGAAGCAAAGGGCTTTGTCTGAGCACGGATCTGGCAGAGCCGAGGCAGGCCTACTGACCTCAAGGCTGGGCTGAGTCAGCGCGCTGCCTGGCACACACCTTTGTTTGCACAATGCCCAGGGATGGATTGCGTTTGCCTCAGGCCGTCTGTATACATGCTTTCTAAAAATGAGAACTTTATCCTTTGCCATTCAGGTGATTGGCCTTTTGCAATACAGTTTAAGAAGAAGAAAAAAAAAATCCAGGAACAACCTACCATAAGAGTAGGATCAAGTCTGAAAAGATTGAAAACTAGGGGAAAGAATTGAAGATGAGCCAGAAGACATTAATCAGTACTCTGCTCTCATAGATTCTACAAAACTATTCTGCAATTCACCCAAATGATGACCACTTGCCTTAATGTCCCAGGGACTTTTATATGGGGTCCATCAATCTTTGCTGGCATTCCCTGACACTATTCGTGATCGAGACCATTGGCTGACAGAATCTGCACTGGAAACAGACTTGTTAATTAGTCTAATGAATCCACAGGAGTCATTAATTATCTAACACTTATCTAATTAGCTAACAGTTTCACCTGTCAGAGCCAGAGGTAAATGCCAGACTGGAATTCGGTGGTCCTCTTCATTATACCCTAAAAATAAATGGAGACATGCAGCACAGAATACCAAATACAAGTGTGGAGACTCCATGGTGAGAAGTGGGCACGCTGTGGCTCGGAACTGTCAGTGGTGGTTGGAAGGAGCTGCAGGTGGAGCCGTTGGAGGTGGGTCAGGAGGTAAGAGACGCACGTCATTGTAAACTACAAACAGCTACTGCCGTCCCAAGTCACAGAAGCAACACACATGGTCGGGCCTATTTTGCCTCCAAGCTGTCATTACCTGTACTAAGATCAGTTTCTTCCGGAATTTTTGAATACTTTGGGCAAAGTTACAAACATCTACTTGGTGGTGGCACAGCAAGATTTAGGCTGCTACGTTGGTTCTCTAGCCTCTTTCCATCTCATTCTGTAAGCTTTGTTTGCTGGCCAAGATGGACCAAAGGAGGCCGGCATGGAATTTGAGGAGTTTGTCCAGACTGACTATCACCACAAAGAGGAGTATCTTCTAACATGGAGATCCTACGTGGGATATGGACACTTGATTGTTGACTGTCATGCACATTCTTTTTTGTTTTTTTTAAGGTTTTATTTATTTATTTGACAGAGAGACAGTGAGAGCAGGAACACAAGCAGGGGGAGTGGGAGAGGGAGAAGTAGACTTCCCTGTTGAGCAGGGAGCCTGATGCTGGGCTCGATCCCAGGACCCTGGGATCATGACCTGAGCCGAAGGCAGACGCTTAATGACTGAGCCACCCAGGCGCCCCTGTCATGCACATTCTTACAGAGAAATCCATTCACATTATGCAAAGCCTTGTATTTGCTGTTGTTTGGGTGCTTATGAACATTTTGAGCTCTGATTTGTTTGAAAGTGATGAGACTAATGTTTTTTGAAGCTCATACTTGCATAGGACTTTCGCTGATTGCCATGAGAGCTGAGGCAAAAAAGGATCAAGATGAAGTTCCTCTAAAGTCTTTTAGATTTTCCATCTGAAACATATAAAGTGAAAAGCAGCAGCAGAGTAGTGAATTCATGGATTTCTTTTCTTTTCTTTTTATTTATTTATTTATTTTTTTTGAGAGAGAGCAAGCATGCAAGCTGGGGGTGGGTGGGAGAGGGAGAGGGTGAGGGAGAGGGAGAGAGAGAATCTTAAGCAGGCTCCACCCCCAGCGTGGAGTCTGATGCAGGGCTCCATCTCCCTGAGATCATGACCTGAGCTGAAATCAAGAGTCAGACACTTAACCCATTAAGCCACCCAGGCGCCCCAGGAATTCATGGATTTCTTAACAGGCACTGTTTTCTAAAAATATTGGACTGTAGTTCATTTTTCTACCTGGATTGGCCTCTGACAATTGGACTTTAACTAGGGTTTAGCTAAATGAAGAGCCCCTGAGAAACAGAACTTCTGTGTGATTTTGAATGGACAAAGTTCAGATGAAGGAATGTTCTGAGGTCCTGACTTTGGATGTTTTCCTCACTTCTGATCACAAAGAACAAGACCAAGTTGGTGAGAGGTAGGGATGGGGTAAGAAAATGAAATGTTTGGAAAGTGGGACATTTTGGGGACACATTTTTGAGATAGCCCAGTGGAGTTGTTATGGAAATCAATGCAAGACTCACATTCATGTACAGTTGTCTCAAAATAAATAAGTCAGTGTGCTACACCAGACCCACACTGGGACCAAGGCCAAATGTGAGAGAAAGGCTCACTGGTCAACAGTTAACAAGCTAACCAACCTGGCCAAAAAGACAGGATGCCAGGATGCCACACCTTCAAAGAGAGACTATCTTCTTGGGGAAGTGCTATTCTGAGAGCTGGGTTGGAGTATAAAAGGCCATGTCAAGGAGGCTATTTTTGAATAAATAAGGGACTTTAGAATGCTCAGAGAAAA